AGAGAGAGAGAGAGAGAGAGAGAGAGAGAGAGAGAGAGAGACCTGCCCCTGGGGTAATGCAGACTAGGCCTGTAATCATCCCCTGAACAGCTCCGATCACCGAGGGCTTGCCGAAGTAGGCCACGTCCATGCATGTCCACATCAAAAGGCTTGTGGCTGCACAAATGTTAGTGTTGAGAACGGCCATGGATGAGGCTATGTTTGCTGCATAAGGAGCCCCCCCATTGAACCCTGACCAACCCATCCACAATAATCCTGCTCCTGCCAGCATCAAAAGCACATTGTTTGGAGGAAATCTCTCTCTGTCAACTTTCAGCCTCGGCCCAACCTGCACAAGTGCCCACATTAACAATGAGAGAGAGAGAGAGAGAGAGGGAGATAGGTGGCTTATGGCTCAATTCGAAGGTATTTGTTTCAACTTATGGATTGTTGTTAAACCTCAACTTTATGCATGTATGTGTGTGTGTGAGTGACAGAGAGAGACCCAAGTCACATACCCAGTACGCTGCCACCAATCCTGCAGTCCCCGAAGAGAGATGAATGACATATCCACCAGAAAAGTCTATGACTCCCCAATGGTAGAGAAAACCCCCACCCCATAGACTGAAAGCCCCCACCGTATACGAAAACGTAAGCCACAGCGGCACAAACGCCATCCAAGCCTTTATATTCATTCTACCCAAAACCGAACCTGCCAATAAAATGAGCGTGATCGCTGCAAACCCGAACTGATAGGAAACCAACGAAGCCATTGGATAGAATGGCTCAGAAGTTGGTGTCTCTAGAGTCCCATTTGAATAGAAATGTTCACTCTCAGGAAGTTTAGCTTGGTTGATCAAATACTTTTGGCTTAAGGCTGGTGCCCCCTTACCCCAAAAAGGCAAGAGCTTGTCACCAAACGCCATTCGATAACATAACAAAACCCATGATATGAGCACTGCTGCAAAGGCGTAGAGGGCCATGAACGCGGAATTCACGGCCCATTTCTTCTTTACAATGCTACCGTAAAGGATCACGAGGCCCGGCATGCTTTGTATGCCGACAAGTGTGGCTGCTATCATTTGCCATGCATTGTCGCCTTTGTTGAGCCATGCAGGCACAGCGGGCAGCGCCTCTGCATAGGCCAGGGCATGAGCCATTGTTCCCTGATCTTTCTCTCTCTTCTTTGAGAGAGAGAGAGAAGGAGGAGCTTTTTTGGGGGGAGAGGAGAAGAGGAGAGAAGAAGAAAGGAGAGAGATAATAGAGAGAGAGAAGCTTAATCACAGGGAAGGATGAAGAAAGGGGAGTGTTTGGTTCTTTGGATGAAGGTTTAAAGCAGAGTCTGTCCTAAAGTAAGGGAGTGGGGAGTGGGGAGGGGGGGAAGATTCCTTAGCTTAGAATTTGTGCGTCAACCGTCAACATTTTGAATCGGTAGATGGAATGGAGGTAGGCGGCCAACTTGACCTTTCCACACTACTTTTTCTCTGACTTTTTAGTCATTTTCCTTTTATAATGGGAAGGCTGATTTTTCAGAATTCCCATGAATGTGATTTTTTTTTTCTCCCTTGCTAAATGATTTTTCAGAATTCTCATAAATATGTTTTTTTTTTATTCTCCCTTGCTAAAAGATTTCATGCTTTCATGAGAGCATACTGTTCTTTACTCTCCCTGTACATTTCAGTCTAGGAGTATCTTTCGGACCCCAGATTTTGCGGACCTAACCTCTTCAAAATAACCTGGGAAAATAAGATTTTCAAATCGCATTCTCCATGGGTTTGGAAAAATAATGTCTTAAGATTGTATAGAGACTCTTCAATTTTTAGAAGGTGGGATCTAAAAGTCACAGAACTCAAAGTTCAATCTTTTCTTTTGAAAGTAATCATCTCGTAATTCTTAGTTAGTTCGGTTCCTAAAATTTGAGATTGAAAAATCCTCTCAGGTAGGTTTTTGCATGGGGCAGTAAGTATACAATGTACTCTTGCCGGAACACAATATATGTACTCTTTTACAAAAAAATTTCTTTTCTTTTAATAATTGAGAAAATATACAAAGATGCAATTTATTTTTATTACAAAGAAGTCACAAGCACTCTTGTTCATTGGTTTTCGAATTGAATGGGTGTAAGTGTGTAATTGAGAATACTCAAAGTTCAAAAGAAAAAGTTCTTAAAATTCATTACTAGCTCAAACTATCCAATTTAACATCTAATGAATAGGAGTGGTTGTGACCTAAAGACAAATGGTTTCATTGTATACAATCCCTTAATAATTTCCTATGGTATACAATCCCTTAATAATTTCCCCAATCTTTTCTAATTTGCCTCTTAACTTTGCAAACTTTTGAGAATTTCAAGCAACTTTTCTAAATTCACGAGGACTACTATTCTGGTTCTCCGTGCCAAGGAAAACCACAGCATGCAATCAAATTTCCGTTCAAACACGAGCTGAAATTTCGGTATAAAAAGTTGATTATAATGAGCTGGGTTAATGGTAATAGAATTTTAAGTCTGGTGAATCATCATCATCGTCATAGCTTTTTTTTTTTTTCAATTATTTAAGATTGGTTGGCTATACGAATCTTTGTCTACCATTTTATTCTATCAATATCGTGGATGAGTATTATATATTTTCCACTTGATTATTTGTGAGTTTACTTGGAACCAAAGCCGAATTTCACTTAAGTTTGGTAGTTTTTGAGAAAAACTTTCAGATCATTTATGCTCTTAAAATACTTTTCTTATAGTTACTTGCAGCCTTTGTCTTTGACCCCAAATTTTGTTAAACTTGAGCAAAAAATAAAGAAGAAACTTCAGTATAAATTTCATGGAGATGCGTCCCTTTCAAAAATATTTTGACCGAATTCATCAAACATTTCGACCGTGAAATACGGGTAAAGTACAACGCATTTCTCCCACCATGTTTTCTTTTTGCTCTCTCGCGTTGCCGTCCAATTGTCTTGGACGGTGCCGATCAGTTCCTCGGCCCCCATCTTGAACCAGTTTAAGATTAATTCCAAGGTAAATGGACGGTGCAGACGATTCCCTCTGCCCCCATCTTGAACAAGTTTAAGATAGAATCCAAGTTAAATGGACGGTGCAGAACGTGTAGTAGCACTGGACGACTACGCCTTAAGAGGGTCTTTTGCGTGCTCTCATGTCCCAATTCCATCAAGTTACATGCCCATGACCAATTAATTACCTACTTAAAATGCATCCTTTGACTAGTCCATTCTCCCCTCTCTCTCTCACCCATAGGCTCATATCAATGTTTTTGTCAAGCTCATTACCATCCCAAAAAAAATAAATCAGGGAGCATACTTTTTTGACCGACCCGGACCTAGCATATATGTGGCGGTACCGTCACGGACATACTAGATCCGTGGCAATCAAAATTTATGTGGAACCGCAACGGATGGCACGTCGTCTGTTGCGGATCCGTTAATAAAGTGCTACGGACATAGCAACTCTGTAGCGATGACAAAACACTGTAGCATTTTGCTGATAGGCGTTTTTTAACACTCCAAGTTTTGGACCCATACCTGGACTCGAGTCATGTCCCTGGTTGGGTCCGTGTCTATTGCATTTGATAATTCTATTAAGAAAATATTTGGATCGTTAATTTCAATTGTTTTTAGATGTTTGCATCTATCTTTAAGATGGATGCTTTATAGCTTGAGGACCGCAAAGGTAGAAATACGGTCCCCACATAACACAATTTTCTTTTTAATTGTTCACAAAAATTCATGTCTTGTCACTATTAACAATCGTAGTAATGTTAATTGACACAACTAATAATGGATATTAATTTCCAAACAGTCTCACTGGTTTTTTTCGGAATTATGAATTCGAAATCAAATCATTAAATCCTTACCCGCGACCAAATGTGAGCTAGTCATCATGTACTATCACTGTTAGCGTTAAGTTGTTTCCAAATTCTCAGTCCTGACAATGCCACATGGTTAGTAATTCCCAAACAGTCGAATTGGTCATAACGTAGATATATATAACCACAGATAGTACAGTGCATCTCAAAAACCTTTGTGCCCATGCACGCACTTGTGCATCGCGTGCTTTGCATACTTTGCCCCGGCCTTCTCTCACTCACCTTTACTCTATTAAACCATGTATAAATAGATTTTGATTTTTATACTTCATAAAAAATTTTGACACAGTTTTATATTGGCCGTCTACTTAACAAAACCACTTTATACCAAAGATAAATGGTCTTATTATATACTTTTCCAAAAATCTTTAGCCTTCATTTTAAAAGAAAAATTTAGGACCGTGTCATCAGTCACTTTGATTGTTTAGGGCCTCGCCTATTGGTTTCACACTTAAATTTTTTTGAATAAATTCATTTTGAATTCTATCCCTTCTTGTCTTGTCAGTTATCCATCTCAACATATCATTTCCATTGCATTCATTCTATAGGTATGTTTTTTTTTGTCCCCCTAACAATCTGCCTCATAGAACAAAGCTGGTCTCATAGTTGTCCTTTAAAACTTGTCTTGCACCTTCATTGATATGCGGCGAT